CTTAAGGAAAATCCTGCACAAACTACTCGCAAGTGACTAACCACTTCTAAGACAAACAAGTCCTAGACTTCTTAAGGATACAGACTTACCTGATCCCTTAAGGAAAAATCAAACAACCGTTTGAATACAAGTTTTGTTTACAAGAGTATTACTTCTACACAAGCTGAATATGTAAACTATTTTAAGAACAATGACTAAAAAATATGAAATCTATGAACAACGCTTTGTGCGTGGATATTTCGTTGATTGACAACTTTCTCTCTTAGTCTTCAAGCCTTTATATAACCAATAAAATAATATATTCGTTGAGGAGTACTCTTGGGATTTCCTGAAACATTGGCAGCTTGAACAGTAACGTGGGGGACAAGATCGTGTGACGCGTCTGTCCTTTCATGGTAGTGGAATGAAATGTTGATTGTATCATATACTATTTGTACCACGTTAATGTTATTTTCTTTCCTTCCACACTTTAGAGGCTTCTGCGAGCATGAGTTTAGAAGCGAAAACATAACACAAGGTCATCAAAACTTCAAGTCTTCAGAATCTTCTAAACTGCGTCTTCAGAGTCTTCAGCACTTGGTTGTGAGAACCTTTTCTTGGAATCGTGGGTCTTTAGAACTTCAAGTCTTTAGAATCTTTAGAATTTTTGTCTTTAGAGTCTTCAGCACCTGGTCTTTAGAAACTTGAGTCTTTAGCATCTGGACTTGAGTAGAAACTTGTGTCTTCGAATCTTCTACTTGTTTCTTTAGAATCTGTTGTCTTCAGAAATATGAGTCTTCAGCATCTGGACTTAAGTAGCAACTTTTGTCTTCAGATCTTCTGACTGGTTTCTTTAGACAAAGATCGGAGTTTACACTTCAGAGTCTTCTGGAGTGTCTTGCTACTGTTCAACAGAACTTGTGTAACGCATAAGCAGAACTAATTCTCTTCTAATGTCTTGACCATGCTATCTATCAGAAACAGAGCTTGTTTATTAAGTACTCAACAACAACAAACATTAGTGTATCAAAATTGTTCATACAAATATATTCATTTGTTATCATCAAAACTCAAAGACCATAATCAAATTTTATTCTTGCACGAAGTACTAGTTAAACATATCAGAGTACTATACTATTGTAGTCTTATGTGGACTTGTACTTCAAAAACAAATTTTACACAAAAAACGAAAAACATACTGCATTGAACCGACGTCTTAGAAAGATGCCACAAAATAAAGATTCTAGTTTGATTCTTTCTATGTTTGGTAGTGAGTTTGTAATAGGAAAATCAATGATTCTTTATATGATTGATAACAATTTAGAATATGTAGGATTAAAACTTAGGACTCTACTAGAACCTTTCGAATATATTATGGATACTCATTTTGAACTAGAACCTCTCAAGTATCAAATAAACAAGTTTGCAATAACATTATATATAGGAAGATTTTCCTTTAGCTAATAGGAAAAGGTTGAATCCTTTCATATGAAGTTTCGTACTTGCACTTGCAGAAACAATAAGTGGTTTAATGCATAAAATCTGACATTCCCTGTGCCAGGCGCCTCTAAGAACAGCTGACCTGCGGGAGATATACCAGAAAACAAACATGAATCTGGTGCTCATAAAAACCATAAATCAAACACCACATAGAAAATTAATGCAAGGGAAATAGTTGATGACAACAACGACGAAATTAGCAAATACAATCTTCTAATCAGATAACCAGGTTACATTCAAAATATCACGAGTTAAACTGGAGAAAAGTTGTATTCATTAGAGATCATGATCCATGATATTAGTGAATACTTAAGTACATTATTTTATCAATTACTAAGAATAGTAACAAACAAATCAATTATTATACACAACAGCACAAGATGATGAGTATAAAAGCAAGACTTCAATAAATGACAAAAGGTATCTCATAACCAATTCAATTGTTCTTCCTCATTTCAACAATTTCATCTTTAATGTTGTATTAGTATTTGCGCAGAAGACTAAAATCTAACAGCTACTAAAGGGAGTTGCCAAATCACTACCCTCCATTGTATATACCATCTCAGCCGGCAATTTTCTTTTCAACCCAGTGCTGCTTTCATGGTTCTTCAAACTCACTTGTCTTGTTAGATCTTGCTTTGTTATCATTCTTTGTTGGATCCTACTAACACAAGATTTCAAAGTTTCACACAGCCCATCAAAAGTCACAAATGTGAGTTCGTCTGGTGAATTTAGGGTGGCTTCAAAGAACAATATTTAGGAATACACCATAGGATAAGGAAATATGACTAGTTATATGATGTACCGCACATACGACTGTACATGCCATGTTCACACAAGAAAGAGCAAAGGAATAACAATACAAGGAAGAAGGTTTTATAGTTTTGAGGAAGCTCTTTTCTATGGTACAGCGTCGCAATACGAATAATAGTTCAGTAAGTGGACAAATAATCTCTGGAAAACACTCCTTCAAATTATCTTCAACACATGGCGGAAGTCTGACCAAGAAGATATGCCTATGCCAACTTTCTTTTTTGGTAATAAAGGAAAAGCATTCCTGATCATTGTCCGTGCTTCTCTACAGTCTTCTCGGGAAGAATTTTCATAGTAAACAATTTCCGATTAGAGTATTCATTCTGACTTCACTACGGTGAATTCGTGTGTTTGGGACACTGTAGTATTTGCTCTTTAGTTTGTAACCGACCTTGAACTACATTAAACTGTTCAGCTACACCATTAGGCAGCAATAAAGACGTTCTTCCACAATTGTGATCACTTCTCCCTTACCTGATTGATAAACAGTAACTCAACAAGCTCGACTTCTTGTTTTAACCTATCAGATTGGATCATACTCAATCCAAGGAAGGAGCTACAATGCATAGGTAGACAAATAGATGTCTTTCTAGTACATGTATTTGTGCCGATTATTGTTAGGCTTTTTCAATTTTTATTAAACACTTTTTGGAAGGTGCTTATCCAGGGAAGCTCCTTTGTGCAAACTGGAACTAAAACACTTTCAGCTCAGTCAAACTTCCCTTCTTTCTTTTTGATCCAAACCTTTAGCGAACCATAGAACTCAGCTGGTCAATTAGATGCTGACAGACAGGACCTATATCATGTCATAAACATAAACATAAATCACATGCAATATCTTCAAATAGTTACTTCAACAAGAACAAAATTCGACATATATAAACTCTACCAACACATAATTGTCTTAATTTTGAGTAGTCATCATAAACAATTAGTGGGATTAGGATATAGTTTTATATATTGTAGGTCAGTTAATGGCATCCCAGAAGCATAGTTAAAAACATATACAAAACTTATGGAACTCAGTGTTGTTGTCCTCGAGAGAAAAAGAAAATATGTTCATAGATAGACTTATACATAGATTCTCCTGCTCAAGCAGCAATGCGGATCTGTTGATCATTGGCTATTGTGTTCAATTTTGAGCTCCAACCCATGCCGACTAACAGTGATCGTTTCATGATACTCCTTATCGAGAAAGAGTCATTGACTCAAGTTTGTAGAAGTATAGGTCTCTAGGCTACAGATAATTAACTTTAAGAAGACACGGAAGGAGGGTAAGCAATGAAATAAACCCAAAAAGGGTACACTTTTGTTTAAGAAAAACAGCTACAATCGTTCTCGGGTAAGAGACTGTGCAAGAACAGATAAGAAATCTATGACAAACAGAAAGGAAAATGTACAGACATTGAAAACACTTTAAGGGGTTTGCTTTCTCCTTCTCAAACCTTGCAATTCACTTACCTTTCTCTCTGGCCATCTCCCCTCTTCTCCTTTAATCCCATTCCCACTCCCTAAATCTAATTCCTGTCGCACATATTGCAAGTTGACCTATGCGCAATCCAGAAAATTTCACACATATTGCAAATCCCATGCACCCTTAGGATTGCAATCCGGTGGATCAGATTAGGATCCATGAGGAAATTCATAAAATTAGCGGGGTCGATGATTTTGACCTAGTATTGGTGGATTAGAGTAAAATCACCGAGGAATTAAATCAGTGGGATAGGTATTTCGACCTAGTAATTCTTCTGGATCCCACAATCAATTTTGCCCTGTAAGCCAACTTGCTTCACACCCGATCCAAATGACAAATCTCACACCTCAAACATAGAGCAATATTTTAGCAAATAATTTTCCAAAACTTATTTTCCTCAAAATCATTCTTCACCCAACATCCATCCAAACAAAGCTAACAAACACACCTAGTTGGTGAACAGTGTCAAGTATATAGGAAAAAAGAAACTCAATGCATAGCATATCAACATGGGTTAACTATAAGCTATTTGAGAATTAGTTAAAGCAGCATAACTTGACTATGGTATCATAAAAGCAGTTTTAAACTGTTAACGGAGTCACAGATGCAATTGCGTAGTGAAATTTGAAATTGCAGAAAAAAATGGTTGACGCAGCCACAATTGCAGCTGTGGAGATTCCAAATACCTTGGTGTCGTAGGCACAATTACAGTCGTTACCATATAAATATGGCGTTGAGGCTTACGTCAGAAACATGGCGGATATAATAGGCGACAAGGCGTTGAGGCTTATATCAGAAACATGGTGGATATAATAGGCGATGAGGCCTGCAACTGACTGCCACGACAGCAATTTGACAACACTATAGCTAGTAGACCAAAATCTAAAACCTTGCTTGAAAGGGCAATAAATATAAATGGCAAGAACAGCTTGTATCAGGTATAAAATCTCACAGAAATCACTAGGTTACATTTCCATAATCATGGATGTATATCCACATTAACAAGATCAAATCACTAGGTTACTTAACGGTTTCTATCAAGAGGTTAGTTCTCGAATATACAAAATAACCAAAGAACTCTATGCTTAAAAATATAGACGCAGACTATATACACTGGCAAAAAAGGAAACAAATTAAACAACCGTATAATATGGTAAGGGTTAATCCTATTTCTACATGTAGGTCACAAAATCCTCACCAGAAAATCGTAAGCCCTTAACTTCAGACTCTGAATCTATAATAGAGTCAGCTCTTGTGGGTTTTCCATAGATTGTCTAAGAATATACTCAGCCCTTCTTTTCTTATCATCTCTTTCATCTTCTCTCCCAACCAAAGATATCGCGTGCAAGGCCTCCTTCTTCTTATTTCTATCACCAAAAGACTCCCCAATGAACTTCTTCCCAGTTCTAAACTTGAAATGTACAGTAGGCCTTGCAGTAGCAGCAGGAATGACACTCTTATCTCCATCAATCCCATCATCACACAAAACACCACCACCACCTAGCATCTCAATTGCAGGAGCAAAAGCATCCAACACCGAAACACGGTCTCCATCAACAAGTGGTAACTTCGACGGCAAAACAACCGGAACGGGAGCAACATCTACATCTTCATCGGGAACAGGAACGCTTGTTGCTGCTGCTGTTTCTGTGAATCCATTACGGTTACGGTTACTGTTACATAGCAACAAACGCTTCTGCAAATTCAACAATGACCTCTCCGCCTTTCTACGCTGTCTAGCCTGTTCAACCTTATCATCACGGGGATCAGAGACTCTTTCATCCCAAACAGGTGTATAAATGAAAGTATGAGGATCAGGTAATGCCGGTAACCACGGCGGTATATGCTTGGACGGTGGAGTTTCACCCATTTGTATAAAACTCGGAATCTTTCTACGTTCACGATTCACTGGAAAATGCGGGATCGGTTGAGCAAACGAAGTCTCCGGCATGGATTCAGCGTAACTCATAATTTCCTTCATACCATTTGAAAACCCTCGAGGTGCTTCTAAATCCTCCCATGCTCGAATCAGATCGAATACGCTGCACTGTGATCTGCCGGCGAGGTTGGCGTGGAATTTCGCCGTTTTGCCGAAGTCGAGGAGGTAGCGGATTACGATGTCGGAGAAAGATTCAAGAGCCGAGTCTTTGACGGCGTGAAACCCTACGGGTTCACATAGCTGAACCACCGCGAGCTTCGCCGTGGCTCGCCCGAAGTCGTCGGGGGCTGCTCTTAATGTGGAGATTGTGTTCTTCGGAGGCGTGATTAGGGTTTTTACATTGATTTCAGATTCTTGGCTTGCTGCCATTGAAGAGAGAAGGAATAAATCGGATGGAGAGTATTTGAGAGCTTGTTGCAGGGTAGACAGACCAATCGAGTAGTAGGCTCAAACCATATCATCTTCGACATCATTTTTCAGAAAAATCACATGCGCGTCGTGTGTAACGATTTATAAGTGAATTTAATTTTTTTTTTTTTTTATATCTTGTCTAGGCTAGAAAAGATAAAAGGTAAAGTATGGTTGAAACATCAAGAAAAGTAAGTGGACAATTAGTGAGTTACTATTCCGGATCGAGATCACAAGGCCTAAATCGGTTTATGTGATCGGGAGGTCATATAATCCGCCATGGAAGAAGATGAAAAGGTAGCAGCCGGACTCATACCTTCGATTTAGAGGTTACTCTGAGCTCGACCTTGATGGAGTCGTTACGCGATGGCCGGACCATTGAGGGCGTAACCGCTCATCATTACACGACAGTGCATGTTATGATAATAGCCATCGTTGGCGACAACGGACGTTACTTGCCTTTAAGGCAACTCATATACGTAACGTGGAAAGCCATAACAGTTACATGCAGTAATCAATGAGGTTCATGCACCTCTATATACAGGGCTCCCGACTGAAGGGTAAGCAAGACACGTCGTTTGGAGCTTACTCATACTCGTGTAAGCCTCTGAATCCCTCAATATCATAAACAACATACTCTCACATTATCAAGGCTCTCCCCGACGTTCTCCAATTAGCAGGGAAGTCGACAATTTGGTGTTTAAAAAGAACATTTGGCATCCACCGTAGGGTCTGGTAAAACTATCCCAGGTCGCATTAACCAACCTTTGAAGAATGTCTTCTGAGGGGGACCCCCCTCCAGACATGGCGCAACTATTAGCCATGATAGATGATCTTCGCCAAGAAAACGATACACTACAAGACAGCGTCCAGATCCTGTAAATGAAGAGCCAGGAAGACGTTGACCCGGGGCTCGAGCTCTTTGAGCCTTAATCGTTTTCCCAAGTCATTTGGGATGATCAGGTTCCAAAGAACTTTAAACCCCCGACATTTGTAACTTACGACGGCAAGTCCAACCCCCATGAGCATATCATTACCGTCAATAATATAATGGAAATAATTGGGGCTAACGATTCAATGAAGTGTAAGTTTATGGTCGACATCTTCAAGGAATCGACCCTGAGATGGTACATGAATCTCCCCAGATACTCTATTGTCAGTTACCAAGACTTCACCAAAAAGATGGTTGAGTAGTTCTCGGCGAGTCGACATCGGAAGGTGTCAACTACAACATTGTTTAATGTCTGTCAGCTTCCGTCACAATCCTTGAGGGATTACATGGCCCGATTTAACGAGGAAACCATAAAGGTCTCTGATACCAATCAGGAGATCTTTGTGGCAGCTTTCTAGCACGGTCTCCGGGCTGGCCAATTCAGCGAGTCGCTAGCCCAGAAATCGGCTACCAGCATGGACGAGATAATCACTCGGGTTGAATGCTACGTGAAGGGAGAAGAAAGCAATATGGAAAAAATAACCAGAGACGCTAGAGAAAAAGAAGAACCCGGGAAGAAATTTCTGGGCAGAAGAAGGAGCAGAGCAGGCCTCGTGATCGACCACCACCTCAGAAACGACCTCCCCAGTGATCATCCCGGCGACCTTTGATTTCGGACGAAGACATCACTCCTCTAAATGCCAGAAGAGAGGACATCTGGAAGGATGTGAATCACCTCAACTTACTACCCAGACTGTGGCGTCCCAAAGGAGTAAATGCAATCTTGGGTGATGACTTCAAGGCATGGTGTGTGTATCATCAGATTCGAGGACACCACATTGAGGAATGCCAGCAGCTGAAAAAGTACTTTGAAAGTCTAATCCAAAGAGGAAAGATGTTATCTTATGCCAAAGATAATATCGAGCAAGCCAGAAAATGAATCCCTCCCAAGGGGAACAACACCTCGGAGTCCCCTTCAAAGAAGAAAGGGAAGGCAACAGAGGAAGTCCGAGAAATGAGGCTTACCCGGCACATCCTCAATACAATATCTGGAGGATTTGTCGGAGGAGGCTCCACCAGCTCGGCACAAAAGAGGTATGCCCAAAATATAATACATGTGGCCCAGGTGGAATGAATAGACAAAGGCGGAGATCCCAGGGCTGTTACTTTCTCCCGTGAAGATGCAAAAGGAATATTACCACATGAGAACGACCTCGTGGTCATTAAAGTTCAGATCAAGGATTGAAGTATCAAACTGGTACTAATCGACCCCGGAAACTCAGTCAACATGATGTACTGGGAAGCTTTCAAAGGCATGGACTTCGACCCGAAAGAGTTGTTACCTTTCAATGGAACCTTAGTCGGATTCTCTAGCAAGCATGTGCAGGTGCTCTCACACCTTCCGGTTATGACCACATTTGGAACAAAGGAGAACGCCAAAGAAGTTAGAATAAGGTACTTGATCGTCAATGCAATGTCTCCCTACAACATCATAATCACTAGGCCACCATTCAACTCACTAGAAACGACATTGTTAACCCTTTACCTCACTATGAAGTATCATCTCGACGAGGGTCGGGTAGGAACGATACGAGGAGCCCAAGGCATGGAAATAAAATGTTAGAAAGATAGCGTGAAGTTGAAAAAGAAGGCTACATTGGTGGAAGAAACAGATAACCATAAAGTCAATATGGTCGATATTGACCCCTGGAAGATCCCAGAAAAGATAGTCTGGATCCTCAAGAAGAAACTAAAGAAATTCAGATCGACCTTCAATCTTTAGAAATCACCCACTTGGGAACTAGTCTATCACCAGAGGAGGAGGACGAGATTGTTGACATTCTGAAGATAAATATTGACATGTTCGCTTGGAAGCCATCTGACATGCCCGTAATCAACCCTAACATCATGTGTCATCACCTAGCGCTTAATCCCGGGGTGAAACCAGTGTCCCAGCGAAAGAGAAAAGGCGGCGAAGAAAAGAGAAAAATAATAGTCGAATAGATGGATAAATTGATGAAGGCTGGATTCATCGGAGAAATCCAGTATCCCACTTGGCTATCCAATGTGGTTATGGTTAAAAAGAAAACTGGGAAGTGGAGAATATGTGTGAAATTCTCCGACCTCAATAAAGTATGCCCAAAAGATCCATATCCACTACCTCACATTGACCAGTTGATCGACAGATCTTCTAGATTCAGGCTGTTAAGCTTCATGGATGATTACTCCGGGTATAATTAAATCTGTATGAATCTGGCGAACGCGTCAAAAACTGCATTCATGACAGACCGGAGCAACTATTACTATGAGGTTATGTAGTTTGGCCTGAAGAACGTCAGAGATACTTACCAGAGATTATTGGACATGGTCTTCGATCCACAAATTGGGAGGAACATGGAAGTTTATGTAGACGACATGGTAGTCAAGACCTTCGAAGAGCGGACACACGTTCAAGACCTAGAAGAAACTTTCGCGACAGTTCGAAGTTATAACATGCGCTTGAACGCAGATAAATGCATGTTTGGGGTTCAAGCCAGAAATTCCTTGGGTTCATGCTAACAAACCGGGAAATAGAGGCTAACCCAAAAAAATGCCAGGTGATCATCGACATGAGAAGCCCGTTGTCCATCCATGAAGTCCAACAATTAACCGGCTGTTTGGCCTCCTTATCTCGTTTTTTGTCTTGTGCAGGTGACAAATTAATTTACTTCTTTGTGACAATAAAAAAGAAGGTTGATTGCGAGTGGACCGGCGACTGTGAAAGAGCTTTTCAACAAGTCAAGCAATTCCTATTAGCTCCCCCAATACTAGTCCGACCTAAAGAAAATGCATCGTTGGTACTGTACTTAGCAGTATCAGACAGAACCATAAGCTCAGTTAGAGTAACGACAGGGAGTCAGGCGAGAAGCCAGTTTACTTTGTCAGCAAGGTACTACGAGGGGAGGAACTCAGATACAGGAAGATCAAATGGTTAGCTTTGGCATTAATCAAAACAGTGATAAAGTTGAGGCACTACTTTCAGGGCCACCCCATCCTGGTGAAAACAAATTTCCCCATAAAACAAATCTTCAAGAAACCAGGCTTAGCTGTAAGAATGGTGGCATGGGCCGCAGAGCTCTCAGAAAATGACATAGAGTTCACCCTACACACCAGTATAAAGTCTTAAGTATTGTCCGATTTTGTGGTGGAATTGAGCGCTCCCTTGAACAAAGAAACATCCTCAAAATGGGTTTTGTCCGTAGATGGATCGTCAAACTTGAGAGGCAGTGGGGCTGTCATTTTATTAGAAGGACCCAACAATTTGGTCCTGGAATACTCATTGCACTTTAACTTCCAAGCTAGCAACAACCAGGCCGAGTATAAAGCTTTGATCACCGGAATGAAATTAGCTAAAGAAATTGGGATAACCCACTTGCTCATCCGGACCGATTCATAATTAGTGGCTGGACAAGTCAGCAGAGAGTTCCAAATAAAAGACCCCATTCTGCTTAAGTATTTACAATGAGCTATGCAGCTTACAGAGGAGTTCTAAGATTTCACAATATATCACATACCAAGAGAAGAAAATACCCGAGCCGACCTATTAGCCCGGCTGGCTAGCACAAAAGGCTCCGGTCTAAACAAAATGGTGATTCAAGAAACATTAGAATTACCAAGCATAGAGAAAGGAGAAGTGCTCGTTATAGAGGAAATACTGGGGTGGATGACTCCCATAATTGAATACTTGCTACAAAATGAACTGCCACCTGAAAAAGAGGAGGTCAAACGTGTGAAAAGGATATCAGCAAGATACCTCATGGTTGCAGATAAGTTATACAAAATGGGAATATCAGCATCCATGTTACGCTGTGTCTCATAAGACAACATGAGCCTAGTAATCAAATAAGTACATGAAGGCGTGTGCGGGAATCACATCGGAGGCCGGGCCTTGTCCAGCAAAATATTGAGGGCCGAGTATTATTGGCCTACCATGCTTAAAGATTGCATATGATTTGTAAGTCGGTGAGACAAATGTCAGGTATTCTCACCA